AGCCGGGTATGGGGGCACACCTGTAGTCCCAGCTACTTGGGAGGCTGAGGCACAAGAATTGCTTGAGCCTGCGATGCCGAAGCTATAGTGAACCGAGATCACAGCATCACACTGCAGCCTTAGTGACAGTGAGACTTTGTCTCAACAAATAATAAAATAATGTAAAAAATAAATAATAAAATCTATGTACATATACAAAACTCCATTTAATAATAAGCAAGTCACTGCAGAGAATGAAAAATAAAATCATTGCTTTTTAGTTATTTAAACATAACACATAAGAAATATCAAAATTGATAGAGAAAGGCTAAAAAGAGAGCTACTTTTGGTCCACTTAACAGTTTGGATGAGGACAATTTAAAATGGATTCTGCCTGGTACTGTAAATGCCCAAGAACAGAGCACTAACTTTTTGGCAGAGTTCTAGCAAATCAGCAACTGTGGAGTGTCAGATTCTCAATGACTGCTCCCTCGTGTAATATCTCAAAAACAAGTCAGTGAGCTGCAGTACCTTTACTATTTTTAAACTGACTTAAGGGATGTGGGAAAAAAATAGACCAATGGGTATCCATCAAGAATAATTTAAATAAACAGTCAAATATCATTTGAAACTATGGTAGTGGTCAGTTTCATATTATTGTATCCTTTCTTCAACTTCCTTTTCGGAAATTTTGTGTATCCTTTTAATTTTTTTTTTAAATAGTTGAGTGTATGTTCTTGCGCTTGTTTCAATTCTATACATTAAATTGCTCAAACACTGCTGTGCGAACTGTTTTTACCTGATAGTTGCTTTCCTTTGGATGGCAGAAAACATTAATGCTTGGTAAGGTTAAAACACTAAAAAAAAAAAAAGTTCTTCCTTATTGACAAGAAGCACCCACCTAATTAGTAAATGCTTATTTCTGCGTTCCACTCTGAGAGATCCTTTTTTTTTTTTTTCAAATGTTTGAAGTTGGAGACGCACATTTTCAGCCAGTACCCAAAGTGATCGTGAGGCCTGCTGGCCCAAAGACTATACCTTGAGGACGACTCGACCCAATGCTATTTTCATGTTTTGCAGCTTTCAAAATACTAACTTCAGAAATCTAAGGAGGGTGGGCAACTCGAAACGGTGTCAGAAGACCCGAGAGTGAGCCGCTCACGCAGTGCCCGGTTGCACAACTTTACTTTGCAGATGTCTCCCTGGGGCGGAAATCATTTCATTTTCACCAGGCAATTAACCATCTTGCAACCAGTTCCGTCTACGTCCCTCAGGATGACCCCCAAAAGTCACCAGCTCATCCCCGCGGCGGAAGATAAAGCGCTGTTTGCCCTGCGTGCCCTCGCAGGGCCGCGGGAACCTGGGCTCGCTTCCCGCCACCCGGGCTCCTCCTCTCCCGGCCCTGTCGGGTCGGGTCCTCCCCGAGGCGCCCAGAGCGGCAGGTCTTGGCGCCAACCGGGTGGCGGCGCTGTCCGCCCTGCGCGCGGCCGCTTCGGGCCCGAGGGAGGCGGATGCACGGCCGGCAGAGGAAGGGGAGGGAGCGAGGAGCGCGCGCTGCTCTCGCGTGCTCTCGCGCCGCTCGCGTGACCGGCTGGTGTGTGCGCGAGGCGCCGGCTCCCGGGGCACGGACGGCCGGGCGCGCGCCACTGCGAGGGGCGTCTGGGTCCGAATCGGCTGCCCCGGCCGGCGCGAGGTGCGGGCGGGCGGGCGGGCGGCGGGGGTCCCGGGCGGCCACACGCACACACGCTCCCGGAGGAGCCTTCTCGGAGGCTGCTCTTCCTCGGCCAGACGGAGAGCGGCACTGTCTCCCCGCCCAGCGCTCACTCGCCCCGCGTCCCCCCCTCGGCGGCTGCTCCTCGGCACCGCCAGCCCCAGCGCCGCTCCCGGGCGGGCGGGCGGCGGCGGCGGCGGGACCCGCGGAGCCGCTTTGTGTGCAGCCCGACGAGGGGCGGCGGCGCAACCACCTGACAGAGGCCGGGCGCTCGATGCACCTTCCGCCCGCATGAGGAGGAGGTAAAGGCGGCGGCGGCGGCGCGGCTCCCGCCCTCGGCTGCTGGAGGGAGGGGACGGAAGGAGAGACAGAGGGGGGGCCGCAGGTCCGAGGCCCGGTGGGGCCGTCCGGGGGTGCCGGGAAGGCCTCGGCGGTACCGGCGGCGCCAAGCGGCAGGGAGCCAGAGAAGCCGTTGGGGTCCCTCAGCCGAAGTTGAAGGAACAAAATGTGAAGTGCGGAGCCGCGTCAGCCGCTTCCTGGCGCGGGGCTGGGGGTGGAGGGCGGCTTGTTTTCCCCTCCCGCGGGGGTGAGGGAGCGGAACCGGGGAGGGGCGGCAGCGCGGCGGGGACTGCCCCGGGTCCGAGGCTCGGCTGGGCAAGGGCGTTTTGTTCCCAGGAGCCGCCACTGCGCGTGGGTCCGCTCGGTTCCTAGTTTTGCGGCCTAAGCCAAGCCCTATAGGCCTCGCGTCTGCTTTCCTGGAGAGGACTAGTCGGGCGGGACTCGGCGCTTCCCTCCGGCCGAGTTGGGGCCTTGGGGTCCTTACCAGCCTCCCGAGGCCGCCAAACTTCGGACCTTGGTGCTCGGGGGTGGATTTCATTGTGAAAGGGGGAATGGTAAACTCCTGGCGCTGTTCGCTGTCTCCCGCGGCCGCGGCGGCTGGTACCGAGGAGCCCCGGGATGGCTGGGCCGGCGCTGGCGGGGTCCGAGCCCCAGGAAAGAGCGGGTGGTGGGGCCGCTGCCGGGTCCCCGGCCTCCGGGGAGAAAGGGCCTTTTCCAGATTAGAGAGATTTGAAATGAAAAAAGAGGTTACAAAGTCGCCCCTTTCCCGCTGAACTTTGGTTTTCTGACCGATAGAGGCCGGTAGAGGACTGTGAACGAAAAGTTGTCCCCCAGGATGGACTTCACCGCGCAGCCCAAGCCTGCCACTGCCCTCTGTGGCGTCGTGAGTGCCGACGGGAAGATCGCTTACCCTCCGGGTGTAAAAGAGATCACGGACAAGATCACCACCGACGAGATGATCAAACGCCTGAAGGTAAGCGTCTGCGGATTGTTCGCTCTTTAGATGTCTTAGTAGGAGGTGCTTTCTCCTGTAATAATGCTACTCTGCTCGGCCTGGCCTTTAGAGTTCCAAGTTTTTTAGATATCTTACCCCCTCTGAAAGGTATTGTTGTATCTCCACTACACCTTTGAGTAAGTTTTCTAGGGACATAACCATTGTGAGAAATTTAAAAAGAGTGTGATTTAAAAGAAAAAAAAAAGTACTGGTTTTCAAGCATAAGAATTTGTGTGTTTTTAGTTTTTTTCTGGAGATATTTAATGAGAATACTGTTCAAAGTGGCTTGCAAACCAAAATGTAGGCAGGAATTTGCCTAAGAAGTTTCCTGGTTTCGGCCCGTGAGGGGGATTGATTAAAGCGCAAAGTCCTTTTTAAAAATTGGCACAATTTTCTGGTATCCAGAAGCTTAATTATGTATATAGTGTGGTTAAACTTTGACAGAAGGTACAGACTTTTCAAAATTGAGACTTAAAGTAAGATGTTTTAAATCTATACGTTCAAAGGAGTTTAAGAGTGTTACGGCTCTTTTTATGAGGTGTCAGCTAATTTCGTTTAAGCATGGCAGTCCGAAGGTTAAGGTTTTAAATTTCAACCTTATGTTGGTTAGTTTTTTTGGTTTCTGTGTCACTGACATAGATTGTGGCGGGAGTCTTACCAAATAAGTGATACTCTTGTAGGATCAGCTCGAAGCAGTGGTTCTCAGTCAGGACAACTTTGACCTCCAGGAGATGTTTGGCAATGGTGGAGACATTTTGGTTGTCATAATTGGTGCTAGATTGGAGTAGGGAATGATTTGATTAAGAATAGACCAGAGACTGAGTCCAGCTAGGAAACTGTAAACAATAGTCTGGGTGAAAGACATTGAAATCTTAAGGCAGGGCTTTGGCATTGGTAATAGTGACTAGGAAATGATTTAACAGACTTTTCAGAGTTAGAATCGATCAGAATTGGTGGGAGGTAAGGGAAGCAATATTGTTGTCAATGTTTCCACCTTGGGCAACTTGGCAAAATATTTTAGGGAATGATTTTGCCCTCTTGCTCTTGGAGCCCAGTAAATATATCTAATGTCGCATTTCAATGAGTATAGTATTTAAAATATTCCTATGGTTTAGCTTTCAAAACTAAGTTGCTTTTACAATTTGCTGCCTTTTGGAAGGAATAAGACAACAGTTCCTTTCATTAAAACAAATCTTTTTTATTTTTATTTTTTAATTGAGACGGGGTTTCACCATATTGGCCAGGCTGGTTTCAAACTCCTGACCTCAGGTGATCTGTCCACCTTGGCTTCCCAAAGTGCTGGGATTATAGGTGTGAGCCACCACACCCAGCCCAATTTTTTTTTTTTTTTTTTTTTTTTAAGGGGGTGGGTTTTTTTTTTTTTTTTTTTTGAGACGGAGTTTCGCTCTTGTTACCCAGGCTGGAGTGCAATGGCGCGATCTCGGCTCACCGCAACCTCTGCCTCCTGGGTTCAGACAATTCTCCTGCCTCAGCCTCCTGAGTAGCTGGGATTACAGGCACGTGCCACCATGCCCAGCTAATTTTTTGTAGTTTTTTAGTAGAGACGGGGTTTCACCATGTTGACCAGGATGGTCTCGATCTCTTGACCTCGTGATCCACCCGCCTCGGCCTCCCCAAAGTGCTGGGATTACAGGCTTGAGCCACCGCGCCCGGTCCGTGTTTTTTCTTTTTCTTTTTTTGAGATGGAGTTTTTGCTCTTGTTGCCCAGGCTGGAGTACAATGGCAGAATCTCCGCTCACTGCAACCTCTGCCTCCCAGGTTCGAGCAATTCTCCTGCGTCAGCGTCCTGAGTAGCTGGGATTACAGGCATGTGCCACCACACCCGGCTAATTTCTCTATGTTTAGTCAGTTTGGTCTCGAACTCCTGACCTCGGGTGATCTGCCTGCCTCAGCCTCCCAAAGTGCTGGGATTACTGGTGTGAGCCATCGTGCCTCGCCATGTATTTTTTCTTTTTAATAAGGCGGAATTTCACTATGTCTGTCAGTTTTGTTTCTAACTCCTGACCGCAAATGATCCACCTGCCTCATCTTCCAAAGTGCTGGGATTACAGATGTGAGCCACTGCGCCTGGCCCCTTTCATTAAAATAAGTCTTGGCCTGGTGTAGTGGCTCGTGCCTGTAATCCCAGCACTTTGGGAGGCTAAGGTGGGCGGATCACCAAGTCAGGAGATCGAGACCAGCCTGACCAACATGGAGAAACCCCGTCTCTACTGAAAATGCAAAATTAGCCAGGCATGGTGGCACGCGCCTGTAATCCCAGCTACTCGGGAGGCTGAGACAGAAGAATCACTTGAAGCTGGGAGACGGAGGTTGCGGTGAGCTGAGATCATGCCACGGCACTCCAGCCTGGCGACTCCATCTCAAAAAAAAAAAAATCCTATGCCGGGTGCATTGGCTCATGCATGTAATCCCAGCACTTTGGGAGGCTGAGGTGGGCAGATCACCTGAGGTTGGGAGTTTGAGACCAGTCTGACTAACATGGAGAAACGTCATCTCTACTAAAAATACAAAATTAGATGGGTATAGTGGCACATGAATCCCAGCTACTTGGGAGGCTGAGACAGGAGAATCGCTTGAACGTGGGAGGCGCAGGTTGTGGTCAGCCGAGATTGCGCCATTACACTCCAGCCTGGGTAACAAGAGCAAACCTCTGTCTCGAAAAAGGAAAAAAAAACACAAAACAAATCTTGATACTAAAGATTATACATGAATTGGGGTGCTTGATGGATGCTTCTAGAAGTTATACTGTTTTGATAATGAGGAGTTATGAAATATAAAACTTAAACAATTTGTGGATCTTTAATTTTTATCAAGTTTTCAAATTAGGAATATTGAAACCGGCTGGGCGTGGTGGCTCACACCTGTAATCCAAGCACTTTGGAGGCCAAGGCGGGCAGATCACCTGAGGTCGGGAGTTCA